GGGGGGCAATTCCCCCCCCCCAAGGGAAAGGATTTACCCCCCCCCCCCAGTAAAGTCATTTCTGCCCCCAAAGTGCGAAGCAGAATTGCTCATGATTGCTGTCAGAATTTCAGTTGATTTACTTGATAATGAGATTATGCCCTTCCATAGCCTCCTCCACAGCCATCTTGTGTGTAATTCATATTGTTCTTCACCGAGTATTTCATAATAGCGATAGATTTCATGCAAACAATCCGATAAAATGCTAGCCTTTCCAAGCCTTGCGACGATTTCTTAGCACTCTCCTCCGCAGAGGCATTGTGTTTTGTTTTGGGAGGTTTTATTGCAAATTTGTTTTCTTAAAAATATCATAAAATATCAAGTTATATTAAGATCCGAACCCCCCCCCCCCAATCGCCACAAAAACCATTCTCTCATAAAGGCTAAATCCGTAGAGACATGGGGGTGGCGGGAGGTACATGTTACATGCTCGAAGCTGAAATTGATTTAAAAGTATGTCTCGACTGAGGTAAAGACAATATACTGTAGGAACTTGATTATTTTGTGAAATCTCGTTAAAGCAGTTGTATATATGGTTCCAAGAAGAATACATTTAGTTTAGATTTTTAACTGTTAAATACATGTAGCATAAATATTTCTTCTCAGACTTATTCTGTACGTATAATATGAAAAAGCAACGCAATTTTGAGAATGCGGAAATGGTGTCTCATAAAACCTAAAATGATTTAAATGCAACATTTCGGATCAAAATCACATTGGGATTACACCCCTCCCCCAGCATCACAGAGAGGAAATAAGGTGACACTGACCCCTCCTATTTTTCAAGGTGACTTTTCCAATTTATTTAATTCCGAGTAGAAATGTCTGTAAAAATTCATGTCTTCGATGTACTTTATAATACTCGGAATTCTGTTAGATTTCACCCCCAAAATGCATGAAATGGCAATTCAGGGATCCTAGATTTCAAAATTTTCCGGACCCTCCTAGACGATCTCATGCCTCGATCGGCGTGAGGTTTGCCCCCCCCCCCTTGTTCTGTCTATTAGACCACATAAAATAAATTCCTTGATTCTCATCACCGCCCGACTGTATTTTAAGAGACGTGTGAAATTTTTTATATTTTGTTAACAATATAAATGAACCGCCCGACAAAATATTTCAAGACAGTTAAAGGACATTGGCACCCAAAATTTTTATTACTTATATCTCTTTGGTATACTTGCGGAATATTTAATTTCATATTTTGGCCGGTTTGTCGCGTTTAGTTGTTGAGAAAATTTGATAGAAAGTTCAACAGTTGTCCGCCATTTTGAAAATAAGCGCGTATGCTAATTTATGCCTCCAAATACATTATCTGACGTCATTGGCTGGGTAAAAACAATTTCATGACTATAAACAATACCGAGTATTGCCACGCGTAGTGCATTTGAACCAAAACAAAAGGCAGCAAAGTTTTACCAAGTATGTAATTTGTTTGTAACACTATTTCTCATAGTATATATCCTACTCCGTGTTAAATAAAAGCAGAAATTCGAGTGCAACAAGACAAATACTAATGCAATATTTTATGATCAATTACCTGTATTGTAAATTGCGCCATTCCTTGCTTTTCCAGTCGCTCGATATGTTTTTATCTGATAGTGTAGACTTATCTTGTTTGATTGCGAAGAGTGTTGGCCAGTATAATGCTCAAAACGACATATTTTTAGCTAACATAACACGCACGCAATAGAATTCTCTCTTGTAGTTTTAGCCCAATGACGTCACAAAGTTCATTGACCTTCGAGATAATTTGTCAGAAAATATTTCCAAGATGGCGGCAAAACACAAAGTTTGCATGCATTTAACCTGAAGTTCAGGCCCTAATTTGAAATAGGGCCTGACACAAAACCTGTCTAGACCGTGGGACGCCCACATGTTATTTTTAGACACACATGCAATATGATTGACAAGTGTTGTAGATTTCGTTACACAAAAAATTATATTCTCATGAACATGTCCGCAGAGCATTTTGCTTTTTAATTAAACTTAAAAATTCAAGGTACTTTTATATAATTAAGAGTCAGTTTCTCTATTTAACCGAACAGGCGAACAGCAAACAAAGATTTAATTAGTCAGTTCTGTGCACGGCTTGACTGCCAAGCTTTCTCAAGGTCTCAACTTGCTGGACGCGGATATACTCTAACGACTAACGGGTTAATAACAGCAACAATTAAATTCTCAATCATACCACGAAGAAGGCGATGTAGCTCAGAAAACAATTACGCCGGTAGGACCTGATATTAAAAATAAGACTTTTGCCGGCGAAGCAAGTTGGCAGAACATCTTGGCTGTCAACAACAAGCTTTCGAATACATGACTAGTTTGGCTGTTCTTTCAGCGTCGTGTGTGTCCAAAATTCGTCAAAGATTTTGATGAAGCCCTTTCAAAATACTGTTTGTTTGATTTATTTTCTTCCATAAAGCATAAAAGAAAAGAAATTCGAAGAAATCGATAATGGAATTTGTTACGTGCGTTTGACCTTTATATTAATTCTCGCCTTGACCGAGCTATTTTTAAAACTGTTGTTTATGTGAACTTGCAACCAATCAAAATCCTTCATGATGCTGATCAACCAATCAGATTTCCCGTCCACCAGGTGGACGGGAATCCCACACTTTAGATAGGTTTTGTGTCAGGCCCTATTCTGTGATAGGGCCTGAACTTCAGGTTAGCATGCATTTTACTCGTAGACTAAAATGTTTGAGAACGAAATGATAATATTTTCATAGTTAGGTCGTCAAGTAGGATTGAAATAGCCAATAAAAATTTTCGGTGCCATTGTCCTTTAAGTTTTTTATATTTAAAATTAGTGCCATTTTAAACTGCCAATTTCAAACAAATAGAACATTAATTGAAAGAAATTTCATTGCATTTTAACGGAACTTCACATTCAGTTGAATGGTTCAGTCATTGTTCGTGGAGAAATATGTTCATTTTGATTTGTCACAATTCACTTTGGAAATCACAGAAATATTAAATGTTAGGAATAATCAGTTTTTTATTTATTGATGATAAATTATATAAATATAAAATATAAACCTCCCGGCTCTTCGACATTTTCAAAGTCTAGTTATATGAGAATCAAGGAATTTATTTTATGTGGCCTTAAACACTCTGCATGAATGCCATACAATTTTACTTGTCAAGGAAAAAATGCTACAGTAGCTGCCATTGTTGGTTTTTCATTTTCATAGTTTGCAGAAAAAAAATAGATGACAGCAGCTTGGATTAAAGAATGCGTTGGTGGATAAAACTGAAGCATCACTGTATGCTACTCTATGGTGGAACATGCATGACGATTCCATTGAATCCATGAAATATGGGCGTGTGCATGCATGCAGTGACAGACAGCAGTGTTTTACAGTCTGTTGTGATTCTAAAATACAAAACTATCCCAATGATACCACTACTGCGAATTGGAATAAAGTGAGCTGAATACCAAACAGAGTGTAACAGACGATGTAATCTTCAAACAATAAAATTATGCAGCTGTCAGATTGTGTCGTAGTACGTCTGTACAGCTGTATGTCACTATGTCCTGACTGCCTGTCGCTAATAAATCGACAAGCTGTAGTCGTAATTCATGGTGTTTATTTCCAACAAAAGTTGAAAGCTATGTTACATACCTGGACATTTAATGACACATTAACTGTTATATTTCACCTTCGCAGACTTCTGAAATTATACTTTTATTTTCTATTCTTATTTACTTTTCTTTTCTAAATTTCCCGTCCTTTTCGCTCCCGCGCGACACCAGCGGAAGACCAAAACAATGATTTACAGTAATACTTCATTTAAAGTGAAACATAATAGCATTGCCAGTTGTCATTGTATAAAATTGTTGTTGACAACAGAGATCTGAAATTTGAAGGAAAATGATAGAAGTTGCACTAGTTAAACGCGGGGCTAGGATAAGTTTATCGACAGCATACGATGAAAAGTATCCGCCTGAAAACATCATTGATGGGTAGGTTTTAAATAAATCACATTAACACATATATTAATATCATCAGGGAGACAAGGACCGTGTCAATGTTTATTGATATTCATATTGAATGAGGTTGCATGAACATGCTATAATGAAGGTTATAATTTATCGAGCCAGGTTGCATTCCATGTAAACTCTATGTCGGAGATACGGCGATACAAGATAGATAAGACATCAAAATAAATAGCCATGGATATTGAGCATATGCCAATATTTCAAAACAATTTACATAATTTGGGGACTAAAACCTAGGACCTACTGACCTACAGTAGGTCACATGTAATAGGCAATCCTGTGTGCCTGACTGGAAAGCTTGGAAATTGTGTGGCCAAGATTTAGAAAATTTAATTAACAATTATTCGCCAAAGGCGAGGTGATTATCGGTGAATAAAAACCAAGACGAAGTTGAGGTTTTTATTCACAATAATCACCGAGCCTGAGGTGTATAATTTCATAGTTGATTATTTGGAAAAAAATTTTAAAAATAGTTACATGTTTCTTTGTAGCCCGCGTGCAGGCCCAAGGGAGCAGGCTCAAGGGAACTTGATAGTGGGCCTGCAAGCAAGGCCCGGTATTTTGTACTTTCCGCGTTCGCCCACAAACGCGGCATTCTGATTGGCTGTTTGCTGTTGGATTCTATAATTAGGTCAGTGATTCATCACAAAGGCTCTCGATAAACTCAAAATTCGAAAATTGATCACTTTTTTCGATTATAAATGGAACGAGAACAGACTGTTTATTGTTTACTAGAAGGAAGAGATGTTTTTGCCGTTATGCCAATGGGGATTGCTTGTCGTGAGTTGTTGGAATAGCAACATTACGACTGGGGTAAACTATAGTAACCTTTACTTGAGTTTCATTAATTTCAAACAGACTTGATACGTTATATGTTCCTCAAGAAAATGATCTTTTGCTTGATGTTGAGATGCAGTTGCATGTAAGCCTATTCGAAACACTTCAGTGCGATTTACAAGGCTTCGCTGAGAGAACGAAACAGAAGACGGTATATTTAAATTGCCGTTTGAAACGAAACGATCTGGACTCTGAACGCTCTCTTCTTTTGTAGAGTTCTTTACCAAATGAAATAACTGAAATAAATTTCGTACTTTCCGCCGCCAACAAGAATTGCACACACGATCTGATAAGTGAGACAATTTATTTATAACAATGCCAACGGCGACAGCGAAACACACATTATAAATGCTAATGTGGTCGCACGACTTCCCTCACGATTTGAAGTTTGAGACTGGTTTTCTGTTGAAATTCGTCCTAATTTGCCTGTTCCGATTTTAGTTGAAAATGAGCACTTGCAAATTTGGCAATTACTGACTGCGTTGCTTGCTTTTTTGGAGTTAAAACGCAGCCATTTACACATTGTTTATGTTCTGAATATGCAGAGAAAACCCCGCAACATTTTAATGCGAGTTTGTTTGTTAATATTTGGGTGCTGTCATTGGTTCTTTTTTGACAATTGACGCGCGAATGGGGCGTGTTATGAAAAGGGGCGTTTTACAAAATACCGGGCCTTGCTTGCAGGCCCACTATCAAGTTCCCTTGAGCCTGCTCCCTTGGGCCTGCACGCGGGCTAGTTTCTTCGTCGTTTAATTGACAAAATGGCTTTGACTGTCATTTCAAAAATTGCTTAATAGACGATTAAGCACCTCAACGGCAACCAATCAGCATGGAGAATTTTCAATAATCACCTATGTAATTATACTAATAGTAAATATATAGAAAGCATCAAAATTGCGCACCTGATATCTCGGGCGCACAGTACAAACTTTCCACACTGGCCAGCCTGTGTGCTTTGGAGACTGAAAACTGTATTTAGTAATCTCACACAAATCCAGACTAGAAAGTTTGCAAAATACACTTGCAAAGGAGACATTTTTGTTTGCCGAAAGTATGCGCACAAAAATTTTGAAAATTATGCAGACTACCAATTTTTCAGTCTGTGTCCACGCCAGTGGTCCGCACAAAAAAATAAGAAGAAATGAGATGACGTAAATGCCTCTCAGTCACTACTCTGTGTACACCTGATTACAGACCTGTAGAACAATGGGAATCCAAGATGGCAGAGAGATGTTTATTCATTTGTTTATTTCATTATTTATTTAAACTAGTTACATGCCAAAAATATTTATTAATCCACTTGTAATTGCCATTATTAATTTTAACTGCAGCAAAATATTTTGCATGCAATATGGTCAATATTTTCTCCACAATGTGCTGCATGTGCATTTTATGCTGAATTGCTGCGCATATGCGCACAAGTTTTCTAAAAGTGTACATTATGCAGACAGCCAAGGGTCTAAAGTGGGCAAGGGAGAAATCATTTTCCAGTCTGGACACCAAATGTACTGTACCAAAGACTTTGTCTTTGACTCTCATGTCAATTTACGCTGGCCCAACAAATTTAGTATCACCGCACAGCAGAGATCTCAGGCAAGGATTGCATGGAGTATGCACCCTGCACGTTATCAACTAGAAGTCAAAAGCTGAAGTTCATAACACAATCTATTTTAATTATAAGCTTTGATAATTTAGTTAACACATTAACCCCCTGAGTGGCAATCCACCATACAGGAATGAGGTACTTTATTAATATTTTACTCTGCCTTGACTCTAATGCCAAACGATTTTACTTGTCAAGGGGAGTTTGCTGCCACTCGATGGGTTACATGTAAGTTGTATTTCGCCCTAGTGCCAGGCAATTTTACTTGTCAAGAGGATGGCACAGGTTCAATAGATTAAACTCAGGGGTGGCATATGTTGCAGTGCTCAGTTAGGGTGAATGTTAGGTTGTTTTTAAAAGATTATACAACACTAGATGCCAAGTCCTCACTCATTTGTCAGTCAGATCAGAAATCGTGAATTCTTTTGTCACAACAAAACGTAAGTGAATGCATGGTACGTGGGTGAGATCAGTGCATGATTATACAGCGCCTGAAATTTGCAGTTGTATTCCATTATCAGAGGATACTAAGATTTGGTTTTGGATACCAAACTGTGAATGGCTTGTATCCCAACTGGATATTATATCACAAAATTTCAAACATTAGGATGCTGTGAGAGCGCTCAATCTCCAACTAAGTGGTCTGCCAATGGCTTTAAATACTATGACCAGTCTGCCTTCTTGGAAATAAGCAGCCTTTGATTTCCAACTTGCGGCATGTTTTGTTGTAGACTGTTGAGTCTCTTGTTGTTATTGTAATTTATAACAATTATGATAGTTACAGCACTGTATAATATGTCCTTTGATTGGTTCAGGGATGCCATAAATTGTGTTAAATATAACCACTAGTATCCAAATGTGGGGTATTTGATGTGATTCTAGAACTTTATTTAATCCTAGTCTCTCAGCACTTGGGATACTGCCGAGAAAATTTTAGACCTTGGATTAAAACATGCTTATAATGTCATAAATTTACACTGTCCAGTAAGCTGTCAGTATGCCAAGAATTATTTTCATTCTCTTTGTAATGATCTCCCTAAGTGGACAGTGGTGGTCATTTAAAAAAATGAATATAATTTGTCCACATGAGTAATCGAAATACAAATTAAAGTTTTTGCATGACTTCTACATGCTTAGACAAAGTTAATATTCAAGATTAGAAGTCTCCTTTACCCTGACTTGTCTTAAAGGACATAACATTTACCATCAGACTTACATTTCTCCATTTTGATCATCCCAAGTCTCTCAATTCGAAATGGCATTTCCTGTATTTTGAGGGAAGATTTAAACTTTTTTAGAATACTAATTTAAACATTATATCCTAAACACACGCCTTGTTAAATAAACTAAACATTTTTAGTTATTTAATTACTCAGTCCCCAGGCCCACGCTGCCAATGGGTCGACAATATGATCGTCCCGTCAAAAAATGTTCTTTATCAATCGGGTTTGACGTGACGCTTATACCTGTTGAAAAATCTGAGCCGGGTTTTACCTTTTCCATTCACGACTGTAGCGAACACTGCGTTATACTGTATAACTTTTATGTTTGCCAACATACTTTGCTTTGATATTTCCTTTGTTGGTGTAATGTACTCAGGTGAATAAGATGCTTGTAATGTTACTCTGAGTGTATATCCACACCGGGCAAGCTTGAAAAATATTCCCACCGTGGCCAGGCATATTTTTCAAGCCTGCCCGGTGTGGATATACACTCAAAGTAACATCACAAGCATATTTTGCTTTATTCGTACAGCAACTTTCTCTTTGTTTATTGTATGCATGTACTTTATGTATCTCCAACTGTACATGGAATATTCTTTAGAATGTTTGCAATATAACCCATGCATGCACAAACATGTGTTGTGCGAAGAAGTTAATAATTTAATGTATAATAAACGCACATGTAGAGTACAGCGATTATAGTATTTTATTTTTGTTAGTGTCTCCAAAGCTTCAACCAGAAATGTAAAGAGGTCCAGGTTATCAATTAGTGTTCTGCTAAATTAATCATAAGTAGGTCTAGTATAACTAGTCAGTATAAAGGAACCAATGAAATTACCAAAGATAGTGTGTGGGATCTGTGATATGAAGTCCTAATCTTGAAAGCTGCAAATGTAGAAAAAGTAGGTTAAAATGATAATAATCTGTAAGTTACTTTTGGCAATGAAATGAGTTGTGATCTTGGATAATTATTTCCTAATGCTTGTGATAGGTCTGAGTACTTTTATGTAGAAAATTATTAAAAATTGGAACCTTGTTTCTTTGATTTTTGCTTTCGCGTAATAAGTTGTGGAGAAGGAGGACATGGTTGTACCACGTTGAAATGATCTGTGTATCCCAAGCTTTCCAAAAATTTCTATTTTTTGAGCCCTGTAGAACAAGCAATCAAAGATTTGATCAACAAAAGAAGAAAACGACAACAACAACACAAATTTATTTCATTCAAATTCAAACCTCGCTTTAATTCCCAAGTCGATGCAATAGGTGGTGTTGGACTGCAAGTTTATATTCTCTAATCCTATTGTAGAGGAGGTTGTGTGGAAACTGAACTTTCCCTGTATTTTCGTTCCGGTGCGTTGTGGCCTATATATAACAAGCAGTTAATGATGTACTTTAATTGTCTTAGTCAAAGAATATTGACAAAAAGATAACCGTGATGCTTTGGTATAGGAACTTTCTCTTTTAACACATGAGGATGTTAAAAACCAAACATCACTTTGAGGGGTATTAGTTATCCAGATGAGTTGCAATCACAGAAACTTCTCTTCTTAAGTCCGTGCATCCTTCGAAAGTATTAATGTGCTGTGATAACTACAGACTCCGTCAAACGCTCCAACTTGAGGAATGAAATGCAGTTATCTTTGAGTATTGCAGTGAGAGCCTTTACATAGACACTGTATCAAAACATATTTTAAGTTTTAATGTTGAATTATATTGATTATTATTTCTTGGAATCATGTTGTCTGGTGAGAAATTTACATTATATATTTGTCAATGATATCCAATTAAATTAAATTATGAAAATAAAATATAGAAATAAATTTAAATCCGCATTTGCAGAAAGTTTAGAGTACAACCTAGTTTTACAGTATGTACTGTACCTCATTTATTAATCTTGTGAATGATATAAAGTTGTCAATAAATATGTAGATCAGTATCTGAAACAAAAACGACACGGTTATAAAGTGATATATAATATTTGTTGTGTTGTAATGTACTCAGGTGAATAAGATGCTTGTGTGATGTTACTCTTTTATTCCAAATCATCTTAGAACATCCCGAGTTACAATTAACGAAATTAGGCATCGTGTTTGGTATTTTAGTAGTGTTTGGACTTTGATATAATATGTCTTTCCAATATTGGAAAGTTTTCTTCCGAATTCTAGACTGAAATATAATCCTTGTAAAAGGAATCCTACGATAAATATCTTTATCCACACTGAAAAACTTTTCAAGCAGTATATCAATAATAAAAATTAAGTTTGCTTACCAATAAAAACGATGGAAATTTACGATACAAATAACAACGTGGTCGGCAATTTTTTCGATGATGATTGTCGGCAATTTTCGTGGTCGGCAATTTTTTCGATTCTTTCGTGGATCACCCCTCACAAGCGATTTCTCCCCCCCCCCCCCTGACTAGCTTTGTCTCGTCAATTCCAATATGTCACTGTTTTTTGTTGGTTGTCACACATTGCTGTAACATGCAGTAATGTTTCTTCGTGGGTCTTGTGGGTATATGGATAAAGTTACGTTCACCACGATTTGTCGTCCGGTTTCTGAGTTGGCGAAATGCGAATGACGACTTTGTAGTCCGTTGACAACATATCATCTATCGACATCATCAACTGAAAGTATTCGTCCTTGACATGAAATCATGCCCGACAAAGCAAGTTGAGTTTACACACAGTGGTCTTCATTCACATCTGTTGTTTGTGACATATACTTCTGTGAAAAGATCTTGACATTCAAGGTACCGGTATTACATATTATCGATGTAGACATTGGGAATGTTCATATATATGTTTCGATTAAATAAATCTGGATGTGAACACTATATAGAACTCGTGTTTGGAAACCACCGTTTTCTAAATGTAAATACAGATTTAATTCCCGCACTCTTCGAGAACTGCCAAACTTCACAGTACGTCTCCGATCTAAAATGCAAAAACAGCAGATTTTGTTAATTATTTCTGATTACGATTTATCAATTTCACCACTCATAATCATTAATTTCTGTGACCATGTTATTCTTTTTCGTAGACACTAATGTAGTAAATATTCTGGATTCTTCGTTGTTTCTATATGATTTGCAAACTATCAGACAGCTGCATGACATATAAGCCCATGCACATTCAGCACACACGTATTTGACAGCTTTTCTATTATTGTCTATTTCCATACTTTAATTTATTATAATGTGAAATGTCTTGTAGAGCTATTGAAATTACGATTTTTTACTTACCCCATGGTGTGATAAAAGTTATAGAACCACTGAACCAGTCCGGTTATGTGGAGATTAAATACTTATAGTATGAGTGTGGACTGTTTGTCGTTTTCGACCCATTTTGATTCTACAAGACATTTTAATACCTTTTGACAAACCGTCATTTATTTTACAGTAAGCATTTTGGGTTGATTTAAAATTAATAAATTTACACCTACACTAACTCATACTGTACACAAACAATCTTGCCTTGTATTTCACGATGTCATATTTTGTTGTTTGTTTAATGCTCATTGCATGTTTAAAATAATTCTCTTTCCTCTTCTAAAATCTTACTCTTTCCAATACTGGCAGTCCGCTATGCTTTTGAGATCAGTGATGATCTGGCCACCTATGTCTCCCATGCGCCGCGATAATTGAATGAGATTTCAATCCGCTTCCTGCCCTTTCCAGAATTATTTATTTATTAACTTTACAACCATACATAAAATAGATTAAACCACTACATAATATGGTTGAAGGTATGATCAACAGGACATGAATAGCCCCATGTGAAGACCAACCTTAATGTGAAGACCAACCTTACCTTAATTACTACCCTCGCCACGATTTTCGCACGATGCTTTCTGAGAATAAGGTGAAGAAGCAAGATTTTTACAGGATTGTCTTGATTTTGCTGTTTTGTTCCTATTTTTACAGAAATAATAACACGTTCTGGTCGACGACAGGAATGTTTCCTCAAGAGTTTGTAATAAGTTTTCCTTCCACAGTGGAAATTGATGCTATCAAAATGACGTGTTCAAACGGTAATCTTGATTTTTGAGATCCCTAAATAGAGAGTTAGTGCTGTAAAATTAATTTGAACCCCACCCACTTTTCATGACTAAACCCACTTTTGAAGACCTTACCCTGAATACTGACAATCATAAACTTTTAGAGAGCCATATGCGACATAATTCTAAGACTTAAATTGTATGACTAACATCGGTTTCAAGTGACTGTATAACTGTAGGTGCTATAAATGTGTTCTCATGTCCAGAAATCATGGACATGGTTTATTCTACTTCCTTCGCAATTTGCATATCACTTTGAAATATGGCTTCAACAGTAAACAGCGAATTAGCCATTTCCCAATCGAGCAGAGGACTGGGACTAGTTGATGTTTGCAGGGACGTTTGAATTGTTGCGTTTCACGGTGCACAAATAACTTTAAGAATGCAGGAAAACTTCCTAGATGCCATATTCGGCATATTGTTTATTTTTTGTTTCTCTAAACAAGCGACTTGACCCAGTCCTCTGCTCGATTGGGAAATGGCTAATTATATACCGCGACGTTGTTATTCGCAAAATCTGAGAATAAAGTAAATCGTTTACAACTTGCCTCAATCGCTGGCTGTAAAACAAAGTCTGTCGAAGTATTTAGTGTAATGTGAACCTGATTTCAGTTACTCCCTCTTCTGCATTTTCAATATATCTGTACGGAGGTTAGTTTTTTCGACATTTGTCTATTTAATTCTACATAAAAATACCCTACTACTGCCACTAGGAAAAAACGAAAATGCAGAAAAGCCAGCCGAACTTATGCCAGGCAAACATTACACTAAATGTTTCTGCAAACTATATTGTGCAACTAGCAATTGAGGGAAATTGCAAACGATCTTCCTGCATGATTGTGCGATGAACAGCATCGCGTAATATAATTCACTGTTTACTGCAGAAGCCATGTCACAGACCTTACACATGTCACAGAACTTAAATATAAAATTGAACCAACCGACGGTTTTGTTACGTATAAGATTTACCTTACTTTAACCGTTACAAATCACTCAAAATCATTTCGACTGCTAGGACAATATAAAGGTATAAAAACTAAAACAATGTATAAACGATACAATATTTTAGTTATAGAATGAGTAACATACGAAAATATCTTCAAAATCGCCTCAAATTTCGATAATACGAACCAATTTATTATGCCAAATTTGTACAAATTTAATCCCTAAAACTGAGGACATTTATGTATGGCCAAGCAATCTAGCCAATTGTTCGCCAATTAAGGTCCGCGACAGGCTATATTTCAACGGGTTGGGAATGCATCGATGCTTTATGCATCGATGATATGCGAATTAGTTAGGAAGTAGAATAATGTCCCCGATTTCTGCATGCCATGTGAATATATGAAGAAATTTCGTGATGAAATTTTAAAAATAGTTAATACTATGTGAGAAATTTGCATCGTAACGTTTGTTATTAGATAGCTTAAGATCTACGACGTCGACGTCAGCTAGGACGTCAGGGCTATGCAGAGGACTGGGACTAGGATGTCGTCCTAATGTAGTCCCAGTCCTCTGCTTAGCCCTGACGTCCTAGCTAACGTCGACGTCGTAGATCTTAAGCTATCTATTGTCAGCTACGGACAACATGTGATTTCAAGTAATATTTATAAGAATGTCAAATCGTGTTAGTTGTTATTAATTCAAATTGACCGTATAACAATCCCAAGCAATTTTCGTCATAGTAACATGCTATTAAATGAGCAAAAAAGTCTACAACGAACATTTAAAGTACACCGTCATGTTCACTTCAAAGAAAACCACTCACTGATGCATGCATACAGTATATACAAGAGAGTATTTCCTAATATTGTACAGCATATACTGTATGCATTGCTTGTAACGGCTGTTATTTTGAATCGGATGGGCGCTTTCGTAATCATAAATCACACAACGTTGTCTTGGTTGTGCTGTAGAAGTGCCAGTTTGTGTCACCACACTTTCGTGTTGTGTTGAAAGAAAGGTGGAAAATAAGAATAAGACACTCGGCCCATTTTAAGATACTGATCCTTTCGGAGCCTAGGAAGCCCACAATTATAGACCAATTCATTGGGGCAATGATGCATCAAACGAATGGTTTGTGATGTCGTTTTGTTAACGTTTCATTATGAGGGCAAATTATGACGCCAGTACGGGTATACTTCTTGATACCCTGCACTGGGACAATCTTTCTCTGCGTCGCATAAAGCTCAAAGCTGGTCTAATGTTTAAGACGCTAAAAGGAAATATGCCTTCTTAGCTACCTCCAAGATATTCGGTGATGAATATCTATCTTGCTTTTTAGTAAAACAAATGTGTATTGAAAAATCATCCGAACAAGAACCTGTTGATTTCGAACCACTTTCAGAAAAAGGTTGGTATTGAACTCATTCAAATGCGTCAGTTTTGCCTTGATTTCGCTGATATCAATGAACAGTCATAAACTCATTTCCTTGTTTAGAACTAAGTAACCTCGATGGACAGCTACAAATGGACGAATTTCCGGTAAGGCAATAATTTGTGATACGGATGTAGCCTAGGGCAAAAGCGTTTGGGTGAAGTTTGAGTATAAAACAGATTTTAATATACATGTAGTTATTGTGGCTATATTTCGCAGCGTTTTAGTGTGAATACAGTACAAACCTATTAAATATATAGACTGTACGTAGAATATCACTCTGAGTACGTAATCAGAATTTATATTTTAGGAAAATTCTGCGGTCAAAGAGAACTTGTTATCGATAATGCGTGTGCTTTTCATCACTTCGACGGGAAATAATCAAAATGAGAATATCTTTTGTCGATTACTTGACACCACCTAGAAACTCATCAGGCATGATGAAAGCTCCTTATTTCGCGTATATAAATTGAGAGAATAGTTCAAATCGGAGCTGATTCTCTGGAGATATCATGGCTGAATATATTGACCATCTTTAAGCTCTTGTGCAAAACCCACCCTGAAGGTCGTAAAACATACTTTTTCTGTTTTTATTGTGGTTCCTACGCGTTGCTAAGGTAAAATGAAACTGACCAATCAGATACGAATTTTCCGAAACCGGTATCGTGATTGGCTGAAACGATCGCTAGTTGATTACTGCATATTATTGCCAGTTAACTATAGTTATATACTGTAAACTTATTACTGCATATTTAATTGCGAAACTATTTAATGGCTATTTTTTTACAAGATTCTGCATGCCCTACAAAAATTGTGTGACCTTCGTACCGGCCCTTCCATACCAACGGGAGGTCACAACCAATAGGCAATTCCAGCTATATAGACTAAATTTTGATCTAGGCAAGAAGAACAAAATCCATCAGCACAGCTAGAAAGAGCATGTTCAAATTAGTAAAATTGCAAAGTTTGGTTGCGAAATGTTGTAAAATGAGGAAAATATAGCCCTGTGAAGTTCGCAAATTTTGTATATATTTGTATTACGCGCTGTAAAAATAACATGCACTTTCGGCTCAAAAATAGTTATTTTTCACGCGCGTAATACAAATCTATACTAGAAAATACATGCATGCAGAAACCCCTCGCCTTGCTGACAAAACCATTTTAAAGGCTAAATATTTAAAGTAGTTGTCGTGGTAAGTATTTAAAGTAGTTGTCATCACTTTTAAACACAAAATTATCAATTCCCCAAACATATATATGTTAGGTATGTTATTATACGTAATATAAGCTTCAATTTAAGGTATAATTCAACTTCAAAATGCTTCGCAAGACGTTTTAAAATGTTCTTTATAAAACTAAACTGCCTTTATCGAAAAACTTTGAGTTTGAAATAAAATGATTTTAAATTCTCGCACTCAAAAAACTTTGCTTTTTTTTTATTTATTTCTTATTTAAACATTTTAAGTATAGGTAATAGCATGGTTTCGAGTGCAATTTGGATATAACATGCACGAGTGAGTTTTTCAAAGACCTCAAAATAGCACGAGTCCGAAGAACGAGTGCTGTTTGAGGTCTTTGAAAAACTCACGAGTGCATGCATGTTTATCCAGATTTCACGTGAAACCATGCATGCTATTACTTATTAATAATATACATAAAAATGTTCGAGACAATTATAGTTTTAATTGTTCGAGAAAAAAATGTTCGAGACAATTGTACCATTTTAGGATACCTATCCACGCGTAAACTTTGGAAAAAAATTTTTGGCGAGAGAAACGCTTGGAAGAATTTTTTTTCACTAATTACGAAAATGTGTTACCTGAAAATTAAAAAGCGGACCCATTGGTAACTTGTATAATCTGAAACTTTAAGACTAAGTTTGCAAAATATGATTGTTATAAACTTTTTGGGGGTTTGTTTAGTCGAAAAACCTTGAATAGTGTTATAACATTATATTTCAAACAAAGTTACATGCGTTTTTGCGCATGTGGGTTTTGGGGTACATAGAGTTAAAAACACACAATTTTACTAGGTCATATCTTTTACAATAATTACAAGCAATAAATGAGAACTGTCAGGAAGAACTCACTTTAGGCAAGTTTACTTGAAGACAAAAGGATTTATAAATTGAGTATATTTTAAAAGAATTATAGCGATGTGCTTTTGTGTGGTTTTTAGGGTACATATACCTGTACGTTTATAGCGAACATTCCACTGCCAAAGTTCTCCTGGCTTTGTTATATCACATTATACAACGCTAACAGCTTGAAAATTCCACTCAACAGTGTAAGTTTTGTTTGTCTTGTTCAAGATAAAGGCTTTTCCATTTAAAATAAAGATAAAAGCGATATTTTCCACGCGAAGTCAACTTTTACTTTATGTAGCATGGCGCCATGTTTGTTTTGTTTTGAAGCAATCTGTGACCGTCACTTCTTTAAACTAAACTGCTTTAAACTGATTGGTTGATTTTATCATCACAATGTTTTTCCACCAATCAGATCAGTTTGTTACAGATCTTTGCACTGTTGTTACAGATTTTTGCACTGCTGTTTGGGATTAAATGCACTGAAATCAACCAATCACAGTCGAGTAATATTTTATGTATATTATTATATAATAAAAAAGGTTAATTAATAAAGAAACACTGAAATTATATGCTGTCTTTTTTATTTAAAATATACACAATGATCACGACAGCTTTTAATGTCGCTATAAAGCGAACAATACATCAATATTTAAAACAAACCTACCTTCGTTAACGTCGGCGCCTTTACACCCTTCTTTTAGCAATTCTTTCGCCTTTATTTTCTTAAAAAGCTTTTGAAATTACAAAATCTTGCAAAAATGAAATATATTTGCAAGAAATCATCAAATCAAGAAATGTTTGCTATTTCCCTGTCGTCATGCAGTCGTTATAATGCAAATTTTAAATTTGACCAATCAGTGTTCGCTATTAATAATAATAATAATAATAATAATAATAATAATAATAATAATAATAATAATAATAATTTAATTGTTTAGAAGCTCGATAAAATTGTACAAAGTTAAGATTAAAATTCAATATATAAAAGAAATATATGTTTTGATCTATACTGATAATATTAAAAAAATTGTCATTTTGTTCTAAGTTTGTTTTTTTTAAAACGAAACAATCCTTTAAATAAAATGTTTAAATAAAATGTTTAACTGCTATAATAATAATAATAATAATAATAATAATAATAATAATAATAATAATAATAATAATAATAATAATAATAATAATAATAATAATAATAATAAATTTATTACTTATATAGCGCTATTTACAGTAATTGATCAAAAGCGCTTCACAGAGTTACGAATAGATACAATATTTACATTATTGATTAGTTGCATGCATTGTTACTGATGAATTCATCAAATATTAACATTCTTAAAATTCAATATCCGTATCTTATAAAAAGTCAGTAAAAACGTTCCTAAAAAGATGAGTTTTAATTGATTTCTTGAACAAGTCAATAGATGTAAGTGAACCTATACCAAGTGGAAGACTATTCCAAAGATGAGGTGCAGCCGCGTGAAAGGATCGAGCACCCAAGGTAGTAAGCATCCTTCCTGCTGGAGGTTCCAGTAGAGTGCCACTGTTAGATCTTAAGCTGAAGGACGACTTCGATTTAACATTTATGAGATCCTTAATATAAGATGGTGCTAAATCGTGTATAGCTGTAAAAGCAAATAGTAATACCTTGAATTGTATTTCTTGCATGTACCGGAAGTCAGTGTAATTCATACAGTACGGGCGTAGTATGAGAATATTTCGGAACGTCCATTACTAATCCTGCAGCGGCATTCTGAACACGCTGTAGTTTAGATATTTGCTTTCCAGGGAGACCATAAAATTAGCTATTACAGTAGTCGAGCCTGCTGGTGATGAAAACATGTACTAGGATCAGTAAGTTGTCTCTTGATAGATATTTCTTAATTCGTCTGATATTAAGCAGGTGGAAAAAGCAGGCTTTACATACTTTTGTGATATGAGTAGTCATGTTTAAGTTCGAGTCCAACCAGCTGCCAAGGTTCTTAATATGCAGGCTAGGAGAATTATTAACTGAAATGCTGATAGGCTGAAGTTTACATAATTGCTGACGAGTGGCAATGACCAAGAATTCAGTTTTGCCATCGTTCATCAGGAGTTTATCCTGGATCATCCAGCGTCTTATCTTTTCGATACAAGACTCCATCGCACGTAAAGCGTCTTCCTGTGACGTACTTAAACTTGGCCTAAAACTGAGATAGAGCTGTGTGTCGTCGGCATAACCATGTGAGTCAGGAAGCTGATCTTCAATTATTTTAAACAGCTTGGATGCATATATAATAAAAAGAAGGGGACCCAAGCACGACCCTTATGGAACTCCTGAGTCCAAATCGAAACGTTGGGATAGTATACCTTCGATAGAGATTTGCTGACCTCTGTTGTGCAGGTATGATTTGAACCAATCCAAGACTTTTCCGTGAATGCCAAACTCATTTTGGAGACGGCGAAGCAATATTTCGTGATTGGCAGTGTCAAACGCGGAACTTAGGTCAAGTGTAACCAGTAAAGTAACTTCTTGCGAGTTCATTTTTAGCAGGATATCGTTTGGAATTAGTCCACCATATTTTTTAGATCAGTGAGGATGACCACCCACCGAAACACCGTTGGTGACCCACACACGTGATCATTGATGAACTTCAGAATTCGCACTTCAATCATTGACGAACTTCAGACTTCGCACGCCCGGAACGGCGCTGCGCGCCGTTGGCTCGGGGACAAAATGTACGAACTTCACAGGGCTGTATTTTCCTCATTTTACAACATTTCGCAACCAAACTTTGCAATTTTACTAATTTTAACATGCTTCTAGCCGTGGTGATGGATGTTGTTCTCCTTGCCTAGATCAAAATTTAGTCAATAGCTGGAATTGCCTATTGGAATTGTGATCTTTCCATCATGCATGCATGAGGCCTTGTAAAGGAGGCAGTCCATAGGTATATACGAGACCTATATTTTGATGTATACCTACATAGCGGATGCGGACCTTATATTGAGCGTTTTATAGCCAGTTTCAATGTCCGTCTGCAACAATCGGATGGCAGTTAAGAGGCTAGCCTTCTCTTCCTCAGCTAGAGGTTTTTAGCTTGGTGTTCACATCAGAAAGGATAGAACCAAGGTTATTTAGCCTTTCGTACAAGGCTACATTTTCTTCTCTTAATTGGCTGTTTTCTTGGCGAAGGCTTTCTACGTGGGCTTCATTAATTACTTTCGGCACTTCGGATCGTTGGTCTTGAAGTTCAAGCTTTAATAAGATTAGATGAGCTTTTAAAATTCCAACGGTGTCCTCAAGGGAATAGATTCGCTCGTTGTTGATTAGATATGGCGTCTTGCATGCCTGGTCGTTCGTTGTTGGATGAATTCCAATTTCGTCGAGTGAAGGTCGTTATCGTCGAGATTTGCTGTAATATTCACTGCATTAGTCGCATACAATTCGAGTTGTTTTCCTATATCTTTGGCTTTTAACCCACTTATTGTTATATTATTGCTCGAACGATCCAAGCGTAGTGAAAGCTCTTCGCTTTTTAGAAGCTTCGCATTTCCACCAGGAGTTGACAATTTGCCTTTCATCTTTAAAACTTCTTCGGTAAACATCTGTAAAGCTGCAAAATCGCCTTGCCATTTGTATTTACCCTTTTCGGTAAAGACGAGTGGAAATCGTTGAGAGGGTCACGTGCCGATCCAATATTTTACTATATTGGACAGGAACCTATTGGACAGTTGCGAATTGTGGCTTTTTTCATGGTTTTTCAACCCTTTTCAGATGTTTTGTCAATTTCAAACATACAACAAGCGATATGGCAGAGTAATGAAAATAATTTGGGACATTAATACAGTTTTTTTACCAGTTTTCAGAAAACTTGTCTTCGCGAAATTTATTTGTTTGCAACAGCCTAAAAGTTAGTAATATTATTTTTTTCGTTAAAATTAGGTCAAATTTCCTTTAAACATACATGGAGTTTATTTATACACACATATTTGTAAAAACAGGTTTATTAACTTTTTGTTTAGTTATTTACTGCAAATTCGCCGCCCATATATGTAGTAATGTTGTCGCTGTAGTATTCTTGCTGTATTACTTTATCGCTTATTGACAATTTTTTGTTATAGAATTGTTTTGTTCGATATAATAAAACTCTTGTTGGATTCATCTTCGCCCAATATGGCAAAATATTAAGTCTCGACTTCAATATTAGGCTCGACCTTCGGTCTCGCCCAATATTGAAGTCTCAACCTAATATTTTTCCATATTGGGCTCAGAAGAATCCAATAAGATATAATATACAATATGTCAAACAATGGGATATTTAAACCTATTAATGCCAAAAGTAAAAACGGTGTAAATACCAATATACGGAAAAGCACCAAAAAGTTTTTAGAAATATAAGAGCCCTGATAATATTGAAGCACTAGTACCTTAAAGTTTACTCCATGCCAAAGATTATCCAAAATTTTATGTAGTCCTTGGTCGATAAAGACCTACCTCTGAATACATGGTTGGGAACGGCTAAACGGATAGTTATTACTGAGAAAATTATATCGGACACTTATAATTTTATAGAGTTATGTTCGAGCCACACCCAATTTTCTTTAAGTGAGAGAGTTAAATTTGACGTAACTCTCTTCCATCAAAACATATTGAGAGAGTTAACATATATGTAACTCTCTGTTGTTATGCTTTTGAAGGGAGGAGAGAGTTGTCATCAGTGGAATTTTTATTTTAAAGTCAACGCCGCTCGTATTTTGAAAACTTAGCAATTAGCGATAAGAACGTACGTTGTTGATTACTTCAAGAAGAAAGTAGCTGGACAGTAAGAATCAAAGTAAAAATGACTTCGATGTCTTCAATTGTTGTGGCGTAGTAAAGCAAACTACCGGTACAACTAACAAAGCGGCCTACTAGTATACGCCTACAATATTTCAAACAACTTTTAACTAATTAAGCGGTTCAACTCACAGTTCGAATTTATATGGTCTAAGAAAGGTCATGTATTGCTCAAGTAACGGTATTCTTGCTCTTGGTTCAAATCAAAGTACAATAATAACAACCAAGAGTTGTGAACTCTTGAATATGTGAACTTTCTCATAATTTGTTATGTTTTGACAAACGAGATTTATATCAAATTTAACTCTCGCTTGTTAGTTGAAAAGAAGCATCGGGAGAGTTTTATATAAACTTTATTTTGATGTTTTCCCCATGCAAAAGCCGAGCTTAGGTAGGGAGATCACATTGAATATGGTCGCTGGAGAAAGTCGGTGTGGTTCGAACTAAACTCTCCGAAATCTTAACTATCCAATTTAATTATTTCTCTGTAATCAATTTAGTGATACCCTACATGGTTGTTTATGTATTGTTTTTCTCCCGTACTGTTGTAACTTACGCAACTGTTTGACTTTCAGATGCCAGCAACCTCTGCAAGTCATCTTCGCTTCGTAATAAAGTCTGGTTATGATCACTTTGCAGCTGTGTATCAAGTCGCCATCGATGGTTCTTTGGACGATTAATCAACAAAACTTATTCGGGAGGGGGAGTACAATTATTGATATGTTAATTAGTATTTTCAATGTTTCTACGCGGGCATATTTAAAACATCGTGAAGAAACTGTAGAAAATGATATGTACAGAAACTTTTCGTTTGACAATTTATTTTGATCAGAATCTAACCGTCCATCCCTACACATGCGAAATTTGTGGTTATAATATCATTGCCCATGTACAGGGCTCAGAGGTTGAGCTCCCATCGTTAAAATTTCCTTTGGCTCCTTTCAGAGTGGGCCTGGGCTTCTTCACTTCCCTGGGGCCGCTCGCTATATATATAGTACAATATGCAGATATGTAATTCTGCAGACATGCAATATATATATTTATTTTTTTATTTGTGCATGCCTAGTGATATTTTTTTATTTCCTGCAATGGTCCAAAGTCGACGCTATCGATACTAAAGATAGTAAAATACAGTGAATTTAGCTACTTCAGTGGACTTAGTGGCAAACCCGAAATGTACTTTTCTCCGACCAAAATGCGAAAAAAACAAATATAAACATTGAAAAAACGCTTGCCAGTGATACATGTTTTGATTCAAATGCTCCACATATATTCAGCTATTCTTCGAAAATATACGTATAAATAAATAAATAAATACTACAACGTACAACTTGTCCTTAACAGGGCCTCTTTTAACATATAGACTGGGGGACATGTCCCCCCCCCCAGCCCTCTTATACTGGCCCCTCCAGTCGGCAATCCCCAGCGAGGCCCCTAAGAACTACCTGCAATAGGTGGTCAATTATGTATCAAAGTGAGCAAATGATGTTAAGTTGTTAACATTTCTGAATTTTTTAACCATCATCTGCAGGCCCGTAGCTAGCTATGAGTCAACCGAGTCAGTTGACTCGGTAGGCCAGAATTTGGGGACTGAAATTTAAACATCGCCAGAAACCTAAACCATGGCTGGAATAATTTGCTCGTGGAACAAAGCATGAAATGGCATTTTAGGACGAAATTCTAGTTTAGTTTTTCCAAGCAAAGATACTCCAAAGAAACCACCCTATCTCGCTCTTCAGTGACATTGAGAAGATGAATGCATCGATTTCAAGTACCCCAATACATGCATGTAATACAGTACTGTAGAATTTGAAATGTGGTGAATGATAATACTATACCACGCACATTTTCATTACCGCATCGTCACACCATGTTGCCTTATTGGGACTGGATTACATTTTGGAGACCGTGAAATTGCAGTAATTTTGTCACTGTTTAACTTCTTGTTGGAAAACTCCTCGAAATGCCGGAAATAGCTTATCTGAGCTTCAAGAAATTCAAAATTTTCTGGGCGGGCATGCCCCCAGATCCCTGTAGAGGCTCGCACCTTCGGTGGTCGACTCGGTTGTCTCAGAATCTTAGTCGTGTTTACACTACAAGCCTTGGCCTAGCCTTGGCCTAGCCTTGGCCTAGCCTTGGCCTAGCCTTGGCCTAGCCTTGGCCTAGCCTTGGCCTAGCCTTGGCCTAGCCTTGGCCTAGCCTTGGCCTAGCCTTGGCCTAGCCTTGGCCTAGCCTAGCCTTGGCCAGGCCAAGGTAAATGTGGCGCGTATACACCATTACACTATTTTTTGAGACTGGCTCACTTTGGCCTAGAATTTTGTTATTAATTTTGTGTATTTTTATGTGTTGTGACGTTGTCCGCCGCTGGTTGTCCGCTAATCTCTCACTGTGGACACACGTTGCCATGAAAATAACGCCCAGGCCGAAAGTGTTTACATTTCCACAAGCCTATAGGCCAGGCCTAGGCCACCGGTTGTAGTGAGCCCAGATTTCCTGGCCTAGGTCAGGCCAAGGCTAGGCCAGAGTCTGTTTACACTGTCAAAATGTAGGCCAAGGCTGGTAGTGTAAACACGACTCTAGTTACGGCCTGATCTGCTGCCCTATGACGTATACTTACTACATAAACTATGTATATATACAGTATGCTAGTAGCTGCAGTGATACAGACTGGAAGACTGGAACTTCTCCAGGTCCCCCGCTAAATATGTCCCCTCCAGTTACACATCCTTAAAAGAGGCCCTGGTCCTTAAACATAAATTCTAAAAAAAAACCCCTTAATTCTTAAATGGCAGTTTAAGGACGATTCCTGTGCTTAATTCGGTCAAACTTGTTTTTATAAATGTTGTATATTAAATGAACAAATTGTTTTTCGGCAACTAAAATTTGTATTTTTCTGTCAATAAGCATTTTTCAAGCATGTCCATGCTGTAAAATGATCCAGAAAATAAATAATTTTACTTAGTTTACCTTCTGTTGTCTTTGTTGAGTAGAAAATCATCTATATTGCAATGAAACTAAAAGCTTTTTATCCAGCTTTTATCGCGTCGTTTTAGCAGTTTGTCAGCCATGCATGCTTGCACTATGTCTATGCCACTAAAGTAACAAACTCAACTGATCTCAAATGTACTTTGCAACTGGAATTTTATCGGTATTTCATTATAACCATGAACCATCAAATAAAAAAATAAACACGTGACGTCATTTACCGTTTAGGTCGGTCCGTACTAAAAAATATTTTCCCTCGGCCTCAGAAGCGTCCTTCGGCGTCGGCCTTCGCTCTATATGTAAAGAAATGTGAAAACACATTATAGATAATAAACAGAACAATTTTTATACATCCAAGGAGAATACTAACAAAATTACTAAAACAATTTCATCTAGAAATGTAAAGTATTATCATTTTGTTTGGTACGTGGACTACTGTAGCAATAATCAAGGTTGTTATTGTGACTACTATAGCAATAGTCAAGGTAGTTTTAATGTGACTAATATAGCAATAGTCAAGGTAGTTAATCTCAACACAAATGGCAAATGGTTTGCAATATTCTTGCACAATGGCAAGGTTAATTTTAGCCCTGCTCGAAAATCAGTGCGAGCACAGTGGCTCCTTTTTGGCTTGTAAAAGTTTGGAACGTGGCGTTTCACGTACTGTAAATAACCCTGTATGATCAGTACGAGCACAATGGAAACTTATACAAAAATAGAAATGAACAAATAATACTTACCTACAGTACCTTTTACTCGAAGGAACAAAAGGAATAGCGCGATGCTAGTTTAGAAGTCTTCAAATCAATACCTCGAAATGCAAATGTGACATGTCGGCAGAAATATACGGCGATCGGGCACACTCTGTGCTTCCGATTGCTCCCGATACTTTACGAAAATCCGGACTGGACAATATGATCATCATCTAATTGTACCTGATCCATTTTGTATCGTATTATAAACGGCACAAGTGTTCTGTCATTATCAAGTCTAGATCGGCTAAGAAGTAGAATTTTGGTTTCTACCGCGTAAGGCAAGAAACACCATGCACTTAATCAATAAAATACGTTCTTTAATTTCACGACCCTTGGTGGAAAGTGAACTATTCTTTGGTGGAAAGTTATATAATATAGTACGGACACAAACAGATGGTGCGTCAGCTCCTTCCCCATACATGTACACATAAATTTTAGATTCAAGACAAGAAACAAAATTTCGTAAATGGGTAATTCCATGGTGACTCATGCTACATTCTGAACCAAACTATCAGAGTCATTTTGATCCGGTGTATAACTAATATATTTTTTATGTCACATTTTTGCATGAAGGTACAAATAGGGGTAAGCTACTGATTCACAGTAAAAATTAAACATTTGGTTATAACATGATAAGATTGGTGGCCGTGTGACTCCTGTTGCGACAAAGTGACATGAGGTAACACCAACCTAAATACTTTTGTATTTCTTCGGGAACCATCGGAAGGAGAAACAAACAATGTCTATCAAGTGACAGACTATATGTTAGGCAAACTACCAACACAAAGAAATTTTATATTTTGGATTACAATAGTAAGGATTACTTCATAATACACGTGACTCATGTTACGTCACTCATGTTACATATAAAATCCAGCTTCATATTTCAGTTCAGAATGGTTTCCAATAGCTTCTGAAAATTCTTGGCAACTTTTTTTTCCAAAAAATGTTATCACTACTATGGAATTACCCAAATGTGAGCTAGAAACGAACGTCAAAAAGGTGTAATGAAGTGCCAGAGAGACAAAGCCTTGAATATCTAACTACTTGTTTCTTCGCAAAACGTGAAAACTTTGCAAAAGGCCGATTTACAAATTGTTGTAAGCAGGTTGCATGCGATAGTTTTGGGCAAAAGTTGTGTAGTGTAAATCGGCCTTAAGAGGTTACCTTTACTGAATGTAAAGGGAAACTCTATAATGTGGGACCGGCTAAACGGAGAGTTATGAAGTGGAGAGTTATCTCGGAGAGTTATGATTTCGGAGAGGTATGTTCGAACCACGCCCAAACCACGCCCACTTTTCCCAACGGCCACACCCAATTTCTTAACTCTCTCAACGTTTCCTTGAACTAGCATGAGAAAGTTATGTTTGACGTAACTCTCTCGTTAACATTATGACGATGTTAGAGAGTTATCATTTTTTATAACTCCCCGCGTTCACGATTGTGGCAATAAGGAGAGTTATCAGTTTTTGGAAAAAAACTTCCACATTTTATTTTTTCCACATGGATTTCCATACTATTTTCAACTAAGATCATATATTTCTGATTTCCATAGTGAGGGTTTTGAAAACAAGGAACGGTTGCGAAATGTGCAACACTATATGATCATCTGGCAGGAATCTAACCTGCGATTCCGATGTAGCGTTTAGAACAATTGAGCTACAGAGGCCAGTTGCTGAGCAGCTGTAAACGCAAGTTCTCGTCTATATGTAAATGTTTATATATACATGCTCACTTGGATTATCTACCAAGCCCAGCATTCAGATACAGCTCTTGTATTAGATAGAACCAGAAAACCTTTCCAATGTAATGTCCTATTGGCTGATCTTTTTCAATTTTCTAGGCAACTATGCTTACCATATTTACTGCCAAATACACATCAGAGCATGCTTCTGTGGGTACTTTGACCCTTCTGATGCAAGCATCTCATTGTTTTGACTGAGTCAAGTTGTATTTCCTGTTTGGACGCACACTACTGGCACGCTACAAACTGAAATACCAAAATATAAGATGAAAATCTGAAGAAACAAGCTTTACTAAGCTAGATTTTCTCAGAAAAACTGACATAACCCTCTTCATTGCCACAATCGTAAACGTGGAGAGTTATAAAAAATGATAACTCTCTAACATCTTCATAATGATAACGAGAGAGAGTTACGTCCAACATAACTCCCTCATGTTAGTTCAAGGAAACGTCGGGAGCGTTATGAAATTGGGTGTGGTCGTTGGGGAAAGTGGGCGTGGATCGAACATAACTCTCCGAAATCTTAACTCTCCGAAATCATAACTCTCCGAGATAACTCTCCAGGGCCGGTTGTATAAAAACGTAGTTAGCGCTAACTGGATAGTTAGCGGTGATTAGATAACTACATGACTTAACTGCGGTGCACAAAACGCAGTTAGTTAACTAATCACGTAGTTAACTGCGCGTGGGGCGTTTAAACACGAAATTACATAAAGTAACCGCTGACACACATTTTTAACATGGTTATGGACTCGTATTTTGCAAATAGGCGGGAATTTTATTCAAAATACTAGAAAACAGTGAAATATAAATAAGAAAACAAGGAAAAACCGCCACAAAAATCATAAAAGAAGGCAGTTTTTCCGTGAGATATATATGTCTACGTTAAACCAAAGGTATAGCTGTTTGGCAATCATATATCAGTGTTTCTTGGTGTAATGGACCATATACTTCGTCTTCGAGAAATCGTCCTGTGCAAAAATACACTCTGTTTTCGTAAAAACACCAAAGCGATAGCTTTTGAAGAGTTTAGATTGTCAGAAAACATACACAGGGAAGTTACGTTGCTTTTTATTGTTGTTTTACTGAAAAATGTTGTTCACTCCTATACAAACGCCATTTTTAACCACGTTTTGGATGTTAACTATACCCTAAAGCATAGCTAACTTTGACTACTTTTTAACTACTTTTTAACTGCAGTTAAGGCTAACTACACTTTTATACAACCGGCTTAACTACGTGATTAAAGTTAACTACTTTTTAATTACTTTCTAACTGCAGTTAATAAACTACGTTTTTATACAACTGGCCCCACGTTGGTAACTCTCGCTTTAGTCATACCCCTATAGTGTGCACGCGTGCAGCACTCCGCCCAGTATTACACCCCGCTTTGTTTTCCCTGAGGCTTCATTGTTCATTTTTTTTCTTGTGAAGGGTGATCATATATGGTCACGCAGGAGTAGAGGTCCTTTATGCCTCTATTTATATAATTTCTATCTAGATTGGGGTAGAATTATAACCACACTGATAGTTATAGCTTAAGATTTAATTCACATTATAGTATTTTATATTAAACAGACAAGAATATTAACGTCACGGATTAGGCTTAAAATTTAATAAATATTGAGGCCAATTTCAGGTTAAAAGCTCAGTTTAACTTTGCCTATACTGACTCTGCCTTTGATCGCATGGTAGCTATAAATTAGTTTGACCAAATTCAGGTCTTGTTCAAATCAAAAAGGCAGAAAGCATGTATACCTTATATATACATGAGAAAATATGAAAAAATAAACAGCAAGATACAGTAACTCCAAGGGGCACTCTTTGTAGTTAAGCTAGCTTTGAAGTTTAAACACTTAGCAATATACCAGCATGAGCTCCACCTTTGAATTTACTATAGGAGTAAATTCTTAAACACGTCTGAATTAATCATTATGATAAATTCGCGGCACGTTTTGAATTTATCATAATAATAAATTCGCGGCGCCTAACACTAACCCTAATCCCAAAATTCTAACCCCAACCACTAACCCCTAACCTTTTTAGCTTTTTTAACTTTCTTAACTTTTTAAACTCTTTTTGCTTTCCAAAACTCTTCTAAAACTTTTTTAAAACCGCTTTGCAAACCTTTTTTGGGGGATCTTAAACGTCTCCCCACCCCTTTCAGTGCCATTAGAGTTATAACAAGAAGTCTTGTCTAGTGCTTGTGGTTTTATGATTAACTCTATTGATAGATTCAAAATGTGCCACGAATTTATTCGGACGTGTTTAAGAATTTACTCATATAGTAAATTCAAAGGTGGAGCAGCTCATGTTGCAATATACATGCTAAACTAAATATTAAAGTTATAATATATCTATAGACATAGGGACATACGAGTTCAAAGTTAAATAATGTGAAATCAAAACGGTCCAATGAATCTCAGCGGTCAACTCAAAAACAGTTGTAAAATAAAATATAACCAACTAGATATGAAGTAACTGTCTACTAACCTTCCTTTTATGAGTCCAAATACAACTTTCATTCTCGTTTAGGTTCTGAAATAACATCGTTTTGGTGGAGAAACGGAAGCCATTTTGTTGTTTTGTCGAATCCTCTTGTTCAAAAAAAATTCGCATTTCTAAACATTTCAAGATTTAATCATCGGATATCTGCAGAAAAGGCAACATACTCAACATTTCCGCCTTGTAGTACTTTTTTACTGTCCCGTCATCGCTGAAATATTATGTTTTTGGTGCTTTTTCTTCGTAATAAAAGCATGCAGTCTGCTTTCAAAAAATGTTTGTATTCTGAATTCGAGCCTTCGCAGATAAATCTGGCTCCCTAATGAACAAAATTTGAATCTAGACAAGTCTGGACAAACATTTCACCACAGCTTGAAAGAGCGTCACAAAATTAGTAATATTCCGAAGTTTCGATCGTTGCGAAATGTTGAAAAATGCGGATAATATAGCCCTGCGAAGTTTGCCGTTTTTCAGTCATTTTGAATTACACACGGGAAATTGATACGTTTTTTCGAAAGCGGTATCAATTTCCCGTGCGTAATGCAAAATGACTGAAAAACGGCAAACTTCGCAGGGCTTTATTGTCCGCATTTTACAACATTTCGCAATGAAACTTCGGAATATTACTAATTTTGTGATCCTCTTTCAAGCTGTGATGAAATTTTTGTCCAGACTTGTCTAGATCAAAATTTTGTTCATTAGGGAATAGGTCCAATAGGGTAGACGGTTAGGGTGGTACAAGTCGACTATTTTCACATTTTTAATGCTTTGATAGTTTGTAATTATTCATTGGCATATATAGTTCCTTTAATTAAATGCATTCAATTCTGCGGCTCATGTTTTTTTTGTCTAAGGGAGTGGGGGGGGGATGGGGTGAATAGATTTTCGGATCGTCGGATTTCACAGAAAAAATTGTTCGGATTTCGGATCTGGCGAATATTTTACACGGATTTGCGGATCTTATTAATACAGCGGATTGCGGATTTCTCTAATATTTTGGCTCGGATTGTGGATTTAGCCGTTGCAATTTAGTTCGGATCCTTAGGGGCTTCGGTGGCGAAGTGGTTAGCGCACTTGCCTTTCACCTCTAAGGTCGCAGGTTCAAATCTCAATGAGAATTTTTCAATGTGACTCGAACCCAGTCCTCATGTGAAAAGAGTAAAAGTCAACGCTCTGTCGAAGGTCGTGGGTTTTCTCCGGGTACTCCGGTTTCCTCCCATAGGGAAAGTTGACAGGGTGGGTCAGGCACATATGGGTTAGGGGGCAGATCGTTAATGAGGTATGGACTAATAGCGGCTGCTTAAAGCGCCATTTGTAAGCTCACAGTCCACCTCGGTCTGCGTCACGCCAGTTTCGGCTGTAATTGTAATGCGCACTTGATCATATACATATGTAAAATCGCGCAATAGAAATATTAAATATTATTATTATTATCCTGGATTGTGACTTCACAGTAGAGCTTTTAGCTGATCCAAATTTAGACAAGACCATTGTCGGATCGTGGATTGTGCTTCAAATTTGGGCGGATCGGCGGATTTGCATACCCTTATTCACCTCCCCCCTTGAGAGTCCGCCCTATATCTTTGAAGTAATTGCGTTGAATTTATTCCTCAACAGGCTTGACGTCCCTTATTAAGCATGCATGTTTGCAAAAAAGTTGGGATATTTCAGCGAAAATGGTCAGGTGTTTAAAGTGACCCTCTACTACTGAATAAAAGCCTTCAAGATTGCTTTCGGTTATTATTAATACTATACCCCGCTCAGTTTTCCCTCATTCGTCACTGTTGAGTGTTGGACAGTTTCATCCGGCAAGATTCCGGGCTTAGCACCGAAAGCCTTATAGTAGAAAATATACTAAAGAATATATATATATACAACATCAGATGAACTATTCTGCAAAGTAAAGTAAAAAGGAGTTAATATTTGTAACGTGTGTATTTACACAATGAATTCACTCAAATTTGTTGTAAATTTAGACATAGATTTGCCATTTAAATTTCATATGGCTATGGCATTAATAATTTCTTGCAAAGTCAATATACCCAATGAATTTGTTTCGCTTGCAAATTTGTTGCAAATTTAGATATAAATTTGCCATTGAAATTTCATATGGCGAAGGCATTAGTAATTTCTTGCAAAGTCAAGAAGAGTTAAAATTTGTAATAAATACGCAACGGATTTACTTCGCAGGCAATTTTTTGTAAATTTAAATATACATATGCCACAGGAAATTTCTTATGGCAAAGTCATTAGTATTTTTTTGGCAATTTACGCAACGAATTTACTTCGCTGGCAAATTTATTGCAAAGTTACAAATAAATTTGCAGAATGTGCAAAGTAAGTTTAGTAGTTGCAAATCTAAAACACTTCATACGCAAATTTATTGCAAAATTAGTTATTGAATTGGCAACTAATTTGCAAGTGCGCAAATTTAAATTCGTCCCGTGAGGTTTCACGAGTATTCCCATTTTATATAAAAATTTAAGTGCATGGAATCTTTTAACATTATTCTAAGCTATTTAATCCAAACAAATCAGCTTATAATCCAACAAAACCAACATGCATGTGAGGATGATTCATTATGGATCTGGGAATTAAATAGTCTGCAGATGCACATTCAATTCAGTCGGTCATAGAAAGCTTTAATTAACACTATGCATGCACTGAATCCCAAAAGTTGGTTTTATTTCCACCATCAAAGGTCTAGTGTACTTGCACAGTACCAGTGGTGCCTAAATTACTTTTTCGAATTTGTACTCGAGTAAAAGTAGAAGTAATTAACAATAAAACGACTTGAGTAAGAGTAAAAGGTACTGGAGGCAAAACGTACTTAAGTAAAAAGTACAAAGTATTCTTAAAAAATACTTGAAGTACAAAGTAAAAGTAGTATTGTCTGCGGGGGGATTCTCCAATGGATTGACACACAAAAGACACAATATAACACATTATATACGTGCACCATAATATACAATATTTCGCGGCATGGTCCATTAAATAAATAATGCTTATAAGAAAGCCACAAACGAGAGATCCCAGACGCATGTAGAGGTCCTGTTACCTATCCCAAAATTAAAATAAATCAGGAATAAATCACGTAAAATTAAACAAATGTGAGAAAGTAACGAAATACGTCGCCACAAAATGAAAATAACGAAGTAAAACGTTACTTCTTAAAACGATTTCGTTCCAAGTAAAAGTACTCCAGAAAGAGTTTACTTTGTTACATGCTGACTTCTGAAAAATAGTACTTAAGTACAGTAACGAAGTACATTTACTTCATTACTTGACACCACTGCACAGTACAGCATAAAGGATCGCTCATTATTTATTGCACAGG